AAAGTGCTTTACATATAAGTTGGTTACTGCACATCCCATCATGTTGTTTCTTTTGTCACCTAAATAACTCTCAGAGTGTAGGCTACAGTACAATTGTATAACACCTCACGTAGTTAACAATGTTAAGGAGCATTGCCTATGTATTAACAATGTGCAAATAACAGCTACCATAGTGCATGCCCATACATCTGCCAAGGCCTGATGTCTTAAATCCACTTCATAGGCTAACTCACCAGTGAGCAGAATAGCAGTGGTTTCTATCTGAACAATAAAGAAAACAATAACCTTCACAAACAGGTAATTTCATGCGTCGCTAAGTCCTCGTACTACTCGTGTACTTTATAAGCTGGCACGTGCATTGTTTTTCATTTGCGAGCGATTTTCAAGTTGACCGTCTTCTTGATAAAATCCCGAAGTCACCAAACGTTTATTTTGTAGATATTTTTGTCGGTGCGCTGTGTTTTCTCTTTCTCCTCGACTTCCATGGTGTTGATAACTGAGACTCTCGGCCGGCTCCGTAGTGCGAAGCAAAGATCAAAGATCGGTCTCTGCTGAGTGCTGACGAGGATGAGGGTGTCATTTTAATGGAATTGATGATGTTTTTACGATGCAAAATACGCTTACGCAATGAGTGATCGCTCGAGTTCAACCCAAAACTGTAGCCGATGTGCACTTATTTCAACCGGTGCACTACGCATTCTTGACGTTTTATGCTGGTGCCGATGCGAATCGGTGAATCTTTAACATCCCTAGTACAGAGGCTTTGGATAATAACTTTTGGAAGAAAATAAATTAAATGAATTGTAAGTTTAGTGAGTACATTATCAATACAATGTTATATTAATGTTAATTATTGATGAATGATGAAAGGTTACTTAAGCATTTTTTTCTTAATATTCTAAAATTGTTTGGGCCCCCGTGTTTGGGGTGGCCAATAGGGTGGCCAGGACTCAGCTGGGGGGTGGCCACGGCCACTCCCAGCCACCCCCCAGCTCCGCCACTGTGTAACAGCCCTGTATCAGCATCTCGATCATTTGCATTTTGTTCTACTTCACAACCTGTTCAAACATGCTTTCAATTCTTTGATATTTCTATAGTAATCTTGATTAAGGGGATGTTAAAACCAGAGAGAGAACTTGAAGATCCAGTCGGATGATAGCAGGACCCGTAAGTTCTTGTTGCTTCTTGTTGGCTTTTTGGTTTATCTCTTACGCTTGTCTCCCAAAATAAGAAATCAAACCTTTGATCCACCGTAGTCAGATAAGGCAGAACAAAATGTCCTACTGTATTGTAGGACATTGTATCTGTTCAGCCCGGATATGAAATGTAAAATATTGTAGTTCAGTAACTTTCCTATGATTTTGTTCTTTCTTGTCTACGGTGCTTGCAGTCATTTGGTTAAGCAATGCTTGTCTAATCTCACGAAGAATTAAAACAAATTGAAGAATGTTATTGTACAAAAAGCCTGAGAGGAAAGTTGGTATTTCTCACCAAAAAAATACATAAAAATGATACTTGTTTTGTAGAAATAAAACTCTGGTATACATTGTGGTAGTTTGATTCGTTCATGTTGAAGAAACGCTCTGTTTTATTAAATTATATTTGGAGAAAATACAAATATATATTATGACGTCTTTCCGAAGTGCTGCACACTCTCACAGGAGCAGAGCAGTCCGGATTCATCCTGTCCTCGTTTTAAATCCAGTCTGTTCACTCAACAGGGAACTTCATTCCCCAGAATCCTCAGCTTCTGGAGAGGCGGGTCTGGGCCTGGCCAGGTTGGCTCTGACTCTCGCCTGGTCCACGGCGTCCAGCAGGTTTTTGGAGTCCAGAGCCAGAGTGTGAGCAGCGGTCAACATCTGGCGCTGACACTCCTCCTTCAGAGAGGTGACGCTGTTCTGCTGAGCCAGACGCATCTTACTGATCAGATCCCCCAGGTCCTTGTTCAGCAGCCTCTTCGTGCCCTCGATCTGAGAGGAGCACATGAAACAGTTTCATTTGGGTAATCTAGGTGGGTTTTATTAGCATTTTAACACAGAAAATGTGGAGTCGTTTGATTTGATCGTCTTCAAGAAATGCTCAGTTTTATTAATACTATTAGGATAAAATACAAACGTAATCAGCATTTTGATGTCTTTTAGTAGCATGAGTAGTGAACGTGTTGCGTTAGAAATGATATGGTTGCAGAAAATAAAATCTGGATCTAATTATATGGCACTTTTCCTGCTAAAAACAACAACTTAATTCCCACAGAAATCAATAAACCCAGGACTGAAGGAAACAACAACAAAATAAGAATAAATACAATTAAATTCAAAGCCAAATACATTGGGTATGTGGTAAGTGTTTCTTGAGCTGGCTCTGCTAGAGAATTTTCCAACCCCTTCTTCGTCTGTCTACTAATAAATACCACATGTTGCCTGAAGCTGCCTTCAAAATAAAAGCATAAACAACTACTCAAATGAACTCTAAATAATGATCAAATGACTATATTTACGTGACAATGATTGTAAGAGGTGGAGGTGTTTACCTCTGTGGTGACGGAGCAGTGCAGCGAGGGCAGGATCTCATCCACGCTCTGGATCAGACCGCGCAGAGTGATGCCCACCGCCTGGAGGTTAGAGAGGGAGAGACATATTGTATGTTACCTGTCTGTTTGATTACAATCAGGAGTGTTGCCAGGTAGGGTAACACATACAAGGGATTTGGTGTATAAACGTACTAAATGTATTAGATGTGCTGTTTTAATTAAGAGGTAGAATTGTGCAGAAATTTGCAAAATATACAGAGGAACGTGCATTTGTTTTTTATGCTATTTTATTGCTATTGAGATGTTGACATTTTGAAATGTTTATTTATTTTAATTTTTATTGTACAATGCCATGTCTTTTTATGCTGCTGCAACACAAACATTCCCCAACTTGGGATCAATAAAGTACTTCTTATCTTAAGGTTTACAGTATTTTTAAGGAGGAATGGCTCACATGGTGTGCGTTCATGTAAACTATTGTGTTTAATAGAGGACTTGAGAGTATGTCAGAGATAAGGACAGTCCAAAAACGAATTTCACAGCTTCTAGGAGAACAGTTTTGCTAAATTCAATGTGAAATGATGTCCTACTTTGACAGCGTTGGGGTACTCGGAGGCCGACAGCGTGTTGACGTCATTTTTCAGCTGCACCACCTGCTTCACCATCGCCATGACGCCCGTGTACACCTGGTCACCTGACCGGTCCAGCTCAGCTGTCGGCCGTGCCTACAACAAAAGGTAAATGGACTGTAATTATATAACACTTTATCCAGTCCTTACAACCCCTCAAAGTGCATGTTCTAGTTATTTTTACAGTGTTTGGTCATTTTCATAAGAAAGTAATCCAATGTATAATAAAAGGGATATTTTTTACCTGCATGACTGTGGGAGGCATTGGTGGCTTCTCTGGAGGAACTGATAGAGACAAAAAACCTGAATATCAGATGACATGCATAACCACGCATGTGTATGAAATTACTTTTAATGTGGAATCAATAACATGTTGCATCTCCTTTATACAATGCATGGTGAAAATAACACATGCTTTATCTTAAAACACTTGTTTGAGACACTAGACTCACCATTTTCTTTTCTTTTTTCAGGAGGCTGCAATAAAAGCATGAAAGAAAGGATGTGAATCGATGAGTTTTAGGTCAGAGGTCAGGTTTAGATTGCCTATTTTCATAATTTCGAGATGCTAAAGAGGTTTTTGTTTGTATAGGCTTATACTGACAAAAGAGGCAGAAGCTTTGTAAACGACACTTGTGTGTGAGAAACAGATATGCCTCTGCAGCTAATGGTTACAAAGTGTTGACCACACCTTTTGTTTGCCTCTTAAATGTTGCACAAAAAGAGAAGTAAAGACACCATAAAGCACCTTGATGTGTGAATCCACCCGCACGACAGGATCCTTCAGAGAAACGAAAGCAGAGGTCAGTGAACGCAGCGTTGCATAACGTGGTTGAATTGTTCATTCTGTCATGTGCTCGCCAAAGATCTTCTGCTTTTAGGAAACGTCACTCTGTTTCTTTCATAGTTTCGTCACTCTCTCAAGGAAGTGCTGCTTCTTGTGTGTGTGTGTGTGTGTGTGTGTGTGTGTGTGTATGTGTGTGTGTGTGTGTGTGTGTTATTCCTCACCAGCTGTCTCTCTTCCTGCTCCAGCCACTGTTCATCCATCAGCATCTCCCTTCTCTGTCGCTGTAAAGTGTTCTCCACTTGCTCTTTCTCCCTCTCCCACACCGGCCTGGTGTCCCTCTCTGTTCTCTACACACACACACACACACACACACACACACACACACACACACACACACACACACACACACACACACACAAACATACACAGGGCTTAGAGGCGGCAGGTTTATTCACGGTCTGAACACGCTATCTATGTTAAACAGATTTAC